CCTACACGGAACAACCCATAATGTAATGTTTGGGATTTCTTATTCAGTTATTAAAGGAGTACACATCGATGTTCATGGTGATGTCCAATTGAGTAACATCATTAAGGCCAGGGCATGACTCATCGGAACATAAGCCAGACTTGGGGTGCTGGAATAGGATTTGGAAGCTCCTCACTCTGCCAGGAGTTAACTCCATAGCTGGCGGATGGGAGGGAGAGTGGGAGATACCAAGGGGGCGCCAAGAGCCCCTGGAGGTACCATGGCGTCCATATTGATTTTCTTTGCCTGAGCTCATCCCCCTGCTTATTTGCTGTTTCTGATCTCTTTGGCCAGAAATCAAATGGATACACTTCTTAGAATTACATGGGCAAGAACGGATACCGTTGACATGAGAGCATAGACTCTCCTTTCATTAAAGTGTCTGAACCCCGAAATGTCTTTTTTTCTTTTTTGCCATAGGGCCTATGTAATCGTGGGAGAGAGAGAGAGATGGAAAGTGAGAAAATCCTCCCCAGAGGGGATGGCCATGCCACAATCCCTTCTCCTCTGTTTTCCTCATTGGATCTTAAACAGGCCCAGACAGGAGCCCTACATTTTTCATGCCGCCAGGTCTGGGACTGAAACCATGCTGTCAGCCAAGCTGCCTTAACCTCCACACCACTGCTGTGCCAAGCACTCAGACATTTTTATTCCCTTTCTGACTTTCAGCTTTGTCCACATACATGAAGCTTTAGCATACCTAACTATCACGTGAAATAACCCACTTACAGAACGGTCAGCACATCCAGCCCTGGTTCTGTGGGGATGTCCTTGCTTTCTCCTACCAGCCTGCCTGTTGAAGAGCTCTCCAATCTTAGAGTGAGTCCCCAGCCTCATGTGTCCTCTGAGAAATCACCCCCCCACACACCATGGAGGGGTGTCCACCAGCAGGCATTGCCCTCCCTATTTACTCTTCCTTGCTGGCTAACCAAGAACCCACAACAAAAACAACTAGCCAACCAGGTAGTGGCACAGTGTGATACAACTGGACCCACATAGGAAAGGCCGAGGGTTCATGTCCCACAACCTCCCTGAGGACACCAGCCACATGCACATGTGCCTAAATCCAGGCTGGCTGAGACTGGGGTGGATCGCGGCGTGGGGATCCTGTCGGGGTGCCTATCTCAATAAAGAAAGGAAGAAATGAATAAACTTAAAAATATAAAAATAAAAACTTTGGGCAGGCCCTGTGGCCAAGTGTTCAAGGGAATCAGTTCCCACATGGCCAACTGTTATTCAAATCCCAGCCCCAATGACTTAAAGAACACACCAGGTATGTGTGCATGTAAATGCCCCAAATTTCAACAGGATGGAGAAATGGAGGAGAAGAGATTGAGATTTAACCTCATGCTCTCTCTTTCTTGCTCTCTCACATGCTTCTCTCTGTCTTTCTCTCTCTAGCAAGCACATGCACCACTGGCAATAAAATAAAATAAAACTTTCACATACACACACACACAGCCTGAAAACTTGGTGGAAATCCTCTTCTCTGATATTAATTAAGTACATACCAAATAGGAACCAAATGCCATAAAACATTTACAGTTCAGCCTGCCATCAACATCCCGCCTCTTCCCCAAGCAAACTCACTGCAGGTTGTGCCCTTAGGGTTGGATGTCCCATACGCATCGCCTGCTGACTGTCCCTTCTACTGCTTGGTGTAGACCAGGTTCTTGCTTTTCTTCCTTGAATATACTCCACCCTCAGTTTACTTCTGTAGGGCAGGTCTGTGTGTTTCTCAGCTCCACCCTTCACTGCTCAATAAGCACGTGCAAACCTATATTGCATCCTAGCCCTCCCTATGCCTAAGGGACTGGTGAGGCAATGAGAGGTGGTCTTGGCTTACTAAGGCTGTTGTAACGAATTGCCACAAATTCATTCTCTTACAGGTGAGAGGTCTGAAATCTGAAATCAGGGGGCCAGCAGGTGGCGATTAAGGCACTGGACCCCTACATGACTGATCATGGTTCAAGTCCCAGACCTGGTGGCTTGCCCTCTCACTTTTCCTCTCTCTGTTTCTCTCTGGTGAGTGTGTGTGTCCTGTAGCAAATAAGAAAATAAAGATAATGGTAGATAAAACAATTCTTCAAAAAGAAAGGAAGAAATCTGAAATCAGTGTCACCGGACAAAAGTGTATGTGTCTGTAGGGCTAGCTCTCGCTAGAGGCTTTGGGGGACTGTTGGTTCCTTCACATTCTGCAGCTTTCAGGGGCCACCTGCGTTTCTGGGTTCATCATCTCTTCCTCCCATCACTTCAGTCGCCCCACCTACTTCTTTCTTTGATCTCGCCTTCCTCTTGTGAGGATCCTTGTGATTACATTTAGGGTCCCCCTGGATAATCCAGGACAATGTCTCCACCTCCAGATCCTTAACTTAGTCACATCTGCAAATTTCCTCTGCCCTATAACATTCACAGGTTCCAGAGGATTAAGATGTGGCTATTTTGGGAAAATCATTATTCATCCTCCAAAAAAAAGAAAAAAAATATATATATAGGACCATCATGTTAAATTAAGCCATGGGTTGCTGAAAATTGGATTTAGTTCAGAGGACAGAGTAAATACCTTGGCAGTATCATGAAACACACCGAGAATGAAGGGGACTGTGGAGACATGCACAAATACCAGACAGTTTGTCGCCTCTCAGTGGCTACAGTGGAATGCCCAGGGTCAGCTGATTGATAACCCTGATAACCTGAAAAGCCCCAACTGCACTGAGGGCTGAAAGGCCCATGCTGTCAGCCTGCCAGGAGTGGGCAGGACTAACCCTCCTGGGGTGGCCTTGCTCAGCCAAACCTTGGGCCAAATCACGGCCAGGGGGTAAGAGGAGCCTCTGCCTCAGAAACAGAGGATTCTTTACTTGGGCCCCCACAAACTTCTGCCATGTTTGGCTAAAGCCCATGACAGAGATACTGAACTTTAAAACTCCTAGATTTTTCACTTTGGCAAAGGCAGTGTAGCTCACTTTAAACCAATCCAGGCCAGCCCTGTGGCGTTGTAGTTAACGGCTGTGCATTGGAAGCCAAGTCCCATATGGCCAACCGAGGTTCGAACAGCATCCTGCTGACTTGCGCATCTGTGTGAGCACTCGAAATCATGACAGGATAGAGAAATGGAGGAAAAAGATTGAGCATGCCCATGCCCATTGGGGGATACCTTCTCTCTCTCAGTCTCTGGAGAGCATACGTGCCTTCTGGTAATAAAAATAATAATAAATTAAGCCAATCCTTCTACAGAGAAAAGTAGAAATGGCTGGGCAAAAACGTTTTTTAGATTTTTGACAATTTCTTTGGAAGCATCCAAGCTCACCAAGGCAAGGGTATAAAAATGAGCACTATAGTGTCTGGCAGATGGCCTAGTGGTTAAGGGTGCTGCACTCCCACATGGCCAATCATGGTTCAAGTCCCAGACCTGGCAGCTCACTTTCTCACTTTCTCTTTTTCTCTCTCCCTGTCCATGTGTGGTCAAATTTAAATAAATAAATGTTAAATAAATAAATAAGTTAAATTAAATAATTTAGAAAATAATAAAAAAGAGCCTTTTCAGCAACTGATATCTTAAAAAAAAAAAAAAGAACACTATATCACCAGAGATTGGGTTTATCCCAGGAATGTAAGGCTGGTTTAATATTTGAAAATCAATGTAACTGGCATGGTGGTTCAGGCTCTGGACTCCCACATGGCCAACTGCAGTTCGAGTTCTGGACCTGGTGGCTCGTTTTCTCACTTTCCCTTTCTCTTTCTCTCCCTGGTCAAATTAAAAATACTAATAACAAATAAAATTAAATAAATAATTCTTTAAAAAAAGAAATCAATGTAATAAAAATAAAGAAGAAAAAGATATTAAAAAGCATGTTAGCCTATACAGAGTATCAATTCACAAAAATCACCATCCAAAAGAGAAAATTAAAGGACCAGCCCATAGCCCAGGGGTTAAGGGAGCCAGATCCTGATGCCAGTCATGATTTGATTCCAGCCCCAGCAGCTTGAAAAACACACTGGGTGCAAGTGCATGGATGCCCCAGATCCTAATAGGATGGAGAGACAGAGAAGATACTGTAACATGGCCACACCCCAGTGGGGGTACTTTCTCCCTCTTCCTCTCTATCTCTCTGGCAAGTGCACATGCCCTCTGATAAATTAATTAAAAAACAAACAAAAAAAAAACCTCAGGGATCAAATGGTGCAGTGATGACACAACTGGACTCACCTGGGGAAGGTCCTGGGTTTGCATCCTGGGACCTCCCTGAGCACAGAGGGCACCTAAGTTGAGACTGGGGCTAGATCCTGGCATAAGGATCCTATTGCTCTTGCTCTCTCTCTTTCTTTTGCTCTCTCTCTCGCTCTCTCTCTGTCCCTTCCCCCTCCCTCTGTCTCTCATTCATAATAAATAAATAAACTTCTTAAAAAGTGAGAAGGTGCCAGGGATATGGCATAGTGGTAACACACCACTCAAGTGATGTTGGATCCTACAGAAGATTGCAGATTTAGTTCTACGTATGTTGGCACCCATGCCCATGGTCCTATCTGGCTGGGAAAACTTGGGGGGCGTGGGAGTTCAGGCATGGAGCCATGTTAAGAGTGCTTGTCACATTTTTTTCTTTCCCCCTGTCTCTCACTCTCATGAGAGACATAAATGAAAACTTTTTAAACATGATCTCAGAAAACTAGAAGAAAAAGGCAAATTTTCTCCATCTGATAAAGAATACCTACAAAACAAAACAAAAAAATCCTACAGCTAACATTATACTTAATGGTGAAATATTGAAAGATTTTCCCTGGGGGCTGGTAAGTGCCATGGTGCTTAAAGGTGTTGGATTCCCACTTGGCCAACTATGGTTTGAGTACCAGACCTGGTGGCTTGCTTTCTCGCTTTCCCTTTCTCTCTCTCTCTGTCTCTGGTCCAATTAAAAAATAACAAATGGAATTAAATAAAATTGATTCTTTAAAAAATAAAGAAAACTTTATCTCTAAAACTGGGGAAAAGACTAAGATGCTTGCTGCCATGACATACTAAAATTTTTCTGGAAATCCAGGCTAGTACAAGAAAGGGACAAAAGGCTTAGGGATTAGAAAGAAGAACTAGAACTGTCTTATTCACAGATGGCATAACTCAGTAAATAGAAAATCTGAAAACATCAAAGATACATTAATTAAATTACTGTGTGAGTATTGTGAACCTACAAAGGAAGGCCGAGGCGAGTAAGTAAAGCAGAATTTATTCGGGCCAGGGTTAGATGATTGCTCCAACAGCACAAAATCCATGTTGCCTTAATGATGTGCACCAGCCTTACAGACACCGGGGTGATTTTAAAGACAAAATGTGCAAGTACATGGAGGTTGGAAGCGGGAAGTAGTGAGGAGAAATCTTGTGCCACCGTGATTAGCTGAATTCTAAACATAGGAGCAGGGTGACCTTGGGGTCACCTGAACTCACTTCGCTTAAGCTTAACTGAAGAGCACATGTGACTGATGGACAATAAGAAGGAATGTATGTGAGCAAGAAAGATCATCGTAAAACAAAATGTCCAGTGAGTCTAGGGAACATCGTGAGCTATTTCACAAACATCTTCCTGAAAAACTCGAGAGACATACCTAAGCTTTATTTCCTTGTAGTACCAACTTGAGTAAACTGGAATTTCTTGTTTTCAAGAAAAACTGGTCTCTTTTGGGATCTGTCAGCTTCCTCAAAGTTTCAATTTGACCATGTGACATTTTAGCTCAAGTGACTCTATTTTGGTTGGTCTGTTGGGAACAGAGAAAGCAATGGCCTCTTCTAGATTTTATGTAACAATACACAGATTCAATGTATATAAAATCAATATACAAAGTACAGTGGTATTTCTATATATCAAGAGCAAACAACTAGAAAATAAAATCTACGGTCTAACTGGTGTCTTGGTAGTTGGAAGACTGGATCTTACATGACCAACTGAGTGGTTTTAAAGCAGGCAAGATTCCATTGTGGAGGAGCACCTCCATTATAAACTGTTCATTCCTATGACTAATAACTCAGGGCTGATAATTGTCTAAGGTTTCTGCCCTCTGGCAAACTTACTGCCGCCCCTCTCCCCCCTCTCACCCCACCCCACCACCCAGCTACAGGGTAACCTGAAAACCTTGGGTGGATTAGTACCTTAAATAGATTAGTTACCTTGAATGGATTGGTACCTTGAATGGATTAGACTTCCTTGCTTCTCTGACTCCTCCCTTTGACACTGTGTAAGGTGGGATCTGAGCCCAATCCCCACCTGAAACCTTCCCTCTCCCAATTCCCCCATAAAAGACTGTGTCCAGGGACCAGCAGTTAGTGTAATGGCTATGTCACTGGACTCCTATGTAGTCAACTGCCGTTGGAGTCCCAAACCTAGTGGCTTAAACTCACGCCAAGTGCATGTGGGTGCCCAAGATCCCGAAATGAGAATGGAGAAGAAGGGATTGTGGTGTGGTCATCCCCCCTGGGGGGGAGTGATTTCTCACTTTCTGTCTCTCTGTCTCTGTCTTTCTGGCAAGTGCAGGTGCCCTATAACAAAAATCTCA